GTTACAAGTAACAAGAAGGAATCCTCTCCTTGNTAAATGACGAGATGGCTGAAGGCTTATGGACGTCCACGTCAGAAGGTAATGATCATCGCGGGGCCTGGGGTCACGTGATGTGCCATCCCGCCAAGACAAGACATCCCGCCAAGCATGGGATGGCAATGGGATTAGGGATGGCATGCCATCACAGACATCCCGCCAAGGAGCAAGAAAATGGGATGGACGGGATGGCAGGACTGGAAGCAATGAGGATATAAGGATGGATGGATTTCATTATTACTCTCGTTGTGGTCAACTCAAATTGTACTTTCTTACTAGTATCTTTACTTAACAAGATTGTCACAAGTTAGTCTATCAAATAGATTAGTCTTGTCAAACCCTCCTTAAGCACGCCAACTCTACTGCATCGCCAGACAAGCCTCACGGAACACTAACGTAATACTCACCTGCCTTAGTGCGGACCAGGATAGAGAAGTATAGACCCTTACCCCGTGTAACAGATAAATAAAGTAACGTGTTCCACGGGCGAGCGCCGCACCCCACCAAACTTATACACCTCTACAAGCGCGTAGCTCTACTATAAATTAATTATTCTATTATATATTAAGATAGTAGATTAAGTACTATCTAAAGTATCTTTCTTGTATGTGCGTGTATTGTGACTAGTCTCCCTACACCTACTACAGCGCGCAAGAGCCTAGCGGCTAATACCTAATCGCTCTCCTCCTTGACGCTCTTTATAAGCAATCTGCTAATTAGCCTTACGCTAAGTAAGTAGATCCTTGCTAGCTCCCTTTGTAAGAACTCTACGCTTCTATATCCGCTTTTTTTTACGTTTTCTACGCTCTAATACTACTGTATTAGCTCTCTTAAGGCTAGTAATTTAATCGCGCATTAGCTTAGCCGAGAGCATTATTACCTTAGCTCTCTTCTTAAGCTAATTAATTACCGCAATAATTAAAGCTAGTGATAAGTGTTACACGGGGTATAGGTCTATACTTCTCTATCCTGGTCCGCACTAAGGCAGGTGAGTATTACGTTAGTGTTCCGTGAGGCTTGTCTGGCGATGCAGTGGAGTTGGCGTGCTTAAGGAGGGTTTGACAAGACTAATCTATTTGATAGACTAACTTGTGACAATCTTGTTAAGTAAAGATACTAGTAAGAAAGTACAATTTGAGTTGACCACAACGAGAGTAATAATGAAATCCATCCATCCTTATATCCTCATTGCTTCCAGTCCTGCCATCCCGTCCATCCCATCTTGGCGGGAGGTCTGGGATGGCGCTGCCATCCCTTTATGCACTGCCATCCCGGATGGCCAGCCTTGGCGGGATGGCACATCACGTGACTCCGAGCCCCGCAATGTCCATTACCTTTTGACGTGGACGTCCCTAGGCTCGCAGCCATCTCGTCATTTGT